TGTGAGACTGCTGCGCTGCGAAAGTGTCAAAATGACAACGTCAGGATTGCAACGGCCGTAGGCAATTCCACAGCTGACATCAAGCCCGTCTGCTTGGCGCCTGTCGAGTCTCAGACTATCGAATTGGCAATGTCAACGGGGCTGATTATTACCACTTCTTCATTGGGCAGACACTGGACTAGCCGGACTTGACGTCCGGGAATGAAGATCACAAAGCCGAATGTAGAAAAGTGTGCAGTGAGTCTGGCGTCGTACTAGACCGTTTGGATCAGGCCATCGGACGATCACTGTTCAATCTGTGTTTTGCAAATATCACATCATATGCAACGAGCCGCGTTTGTCGACCAGGGAATTGTTTATAAAGCCGAGCTTTGGTGCAACCTTTGATCAATCGCTTCTTGGCGTACATATCTCATCACGGCAATTGGGCTGCTTCCCCATTTTGGTGTCGACCAGCTGACAAGTCCGTGCTGAGCTGGGCGATCTTGAGTTGCTTTGAGTCCAGCTGGATCACGATTTCGCGCTTGAGGATCATCAATACACTGACGTGTACTAGCAGTGAACTGAGGGTCTCTGCATTTGCATATCTGCTGATCAAGACGAAACTAAAATAACCGCCAAGTATCCAGACCCCTCATGGCGCTGCCGTGCTCTCAATGGAGTGGCAGACCGCAGACGATGACCGAATGTTCTTTGGAGAACCAAAACTCGATATTCCCTTCCATCTCCGAGCACTTCCAGTCATCGCCGCTGTGTGCGTGGTCCGATTCACTTCCAATCTCGACGTGAAAACCTCGCACTATCGCGGGTGTAGATTGGACATGACAGTAGCACAAACGTCGTGGGCTCAGATACGTCTTGACACGATAATGGCCAAATCTACAGTCCCCCAAGGCTCTCTGAGCGCCGTTACTATAGTCGAATATCATACCCTTGCATTCAAAGTTCTCGTCTTCTAGAATCTGAATGCCAGTCACGTCTTTTAATGGTGCCACGGAAAGATACATATGCTCGAACATTAGATGTAGGAGAGGATCCATATTCGGCCAGCGGTTGTTGAACGGCGGTAGGCTATCGCGTTGCTGCTTCCGCGGATATGTTCCGAATACAGTAGCTGGTCCGACATCTGCAACATTGTGAATGAGCAGCTCCGGACTTGACTGGCTGAGAACGATATCCCTATGCTGCCTGAGATGGCATGGGCCAACATACACATCCCCGGCTAGCTTTGTACGAATCTATCTTCATTAGTACAGCCAAGTTAATCATGAAAGGAAGATGTCACCATGAAAAAGGGCTTCTGCGTTGTGGCCCCTCCGCCTTCAACCTTCAACCGCATCGCGATCGCCGTGATTTCTTCATCTCTCGGCATCGGTAGGTATATCGATACGATGCTTTCCTTTCTTTTCGCAGGAAGGCGGTCAAAGGTTTTCGTTGCATAAGGCCTCGCATGTGTATGCGCGTGTATTGCATAGAGCTTGCTGAAAGAGAAGAAAAACGTGAGGCCCGTTACACTGCGTAAGTTGGTGGTCTTGAATTGCATGTACGGTGTCACGCGGCCGTAAAAGTCGCAGTCCTCAATACCGGGGGGGCTGGGGGTATCCCAGATGTGAAACCCCAACAAAGATGCAGGGAGCTCAAGTCGCAATACGTGAAACTGGGTGTCCTGGTCAGTTCAGATCATAGCAATATCCAGAGCAACCTCATCACCTTTAGTACAGCCACGACATCCTGCAAGCAAATCGCCGGTGCAATGACGAATGCCTCCTTATCCGAGCGTCGGGGGTGGTATGCTGAATTCGATAACCGTTCTATCTTACGTATTCCCCTGTGATCAAGAGTCAAGCGTACTACTGGCGGGCAGTTGCTTGATAGCACAGCAGCGCAATCTCCTCGTGTCCAAGATAGGATATTACACAAAGGTATCGAAGTGACCGGCGGAGCGGCATCGGACTGTAAGTGGGACAATTCCCGAGCTATGCTGAGAACATGGATGTAGCGCCAGAACGTTGCCGAATCACTGTACTCTTGTATCATTTGGATAAGCTCTGCTGGTAGGAGCTTCAATAGTCGAATGCCGTAAGCTTCTGCATTCTCGCGGACAATTTCGATGTCAAGTCCTGTTTCACGGTCCAGTTGAAGCATTGGAGCACGTTGCCAGAGATTCCTCTTGCCAATTGTTACCCACAATCTGTCGACTGCCTTGTCGATTTTGCAGTGTTGTTTGAACAGACTCAGACACGTAGAATGCAAGCCTACTGCCTCGGTAGCATCTGTGCATCGCCTGCAGCTCGGTGCCCAGCAAATGACTTTGGTGCCAACCCTGATGCTCCGAGAGTCGGGGAATACCGCACGGTCTAGACAAATTCCTGATTCTGGTTCAAGACCGTCACCTAGCACTGCAAAATTGCTGTTAGCTGATGGAATAACATGAGAAGAGTGATGTCAAAACTAACAAGCCACAAAGCTCACGCCAGCCAACAATACTCTGCTGCAGATACCGCATTGAGTACGAAGGCGATGATGCCCCGTGGCTCCAACTACCAAATAGCTCATGATGGTATTGAATGAATATGTATTACGAAGAGGGGAATATCTCGTGTTTGACGTGACCTCGGTTCGGATTATTGAGGAACCGACGTACAGATGTCAGCAATTGGATGCGATGATGCATCGATGATTGGTTACACGGTATGAGATGGCTGGGGGCTGGACCTTAGAGGAGACCTAATTAACAACTATGTTTAAAATTTGAAATCCGGTTTTACAAGGCTTTGGTAATCTAAGATATTCCGCCAGGATCGGGGCTATGCGATGGGACAGGTAGAGTTCGCTGGTAGAGAGACCTGGACGATAGCATCGTAAAGATGACGGGTAACCAGGAGATCCAAACTATATCTACGCTATCTGGCTTCCATAGTATATGAAAATGAATAATGAGAGGGTCCGCTGTCGCTATACAATGGAACGAAACGAGTGTTGATGAAATAGAGAAGACCATCGCAGGTCACGTCTACTGTTCAAGAGCCTATTTCTAACCCCATAACCTCCACAAGTCTCATAAAAGAAAACTCCATTGAGTATAACACTATAAGATAGTTTACTGCAATACAGTATAGCAGCTCCGGTAGCACTGCTTCGAACAATGTAACTATACCTTACTGAATCGCATGGCACTTCGCCGAATGAGAATATGTCGATGAGGATGAGATTTCTCTAACTTGCATCTAGCTCTGGATACTCAAGTGCGCGACACTTTGCTATGTTAACCCGGCTCGAAATTATCAGTATGTCGCTTCCAGCTATCCTGCTGTTGAAAGTGACGCCGATGTTCCATCACTCAGCCTAGGCCTCTGAACGCTGGATTCTGAAGTGGAAGCATTTCAGTACACAGGGAATTAGAAAGGATTAGCGAGACCTATTACTAGCGTTTCTTTCTAATAAAATCCGTTTGCTTCTGAAAAAACGACAGGCAACGCGATTCTCGTATCTTCGCCTATCACAGGGAAACACAGAAAGCAGGCTCTACAAAATATTTCCAAGCGGCACAGGCCGTATGTTCACCTATCATTTGGAGACCAGGCTACAACTAGCAGAAGAGGTTTCAAGCCAAGAAAGACCGTATCTTCGCCTATCACCAGCAGTTGGTAACGTCTCGGCAGTTGACATGTCTTGCAGTCGTACAATATTCTTGCTAGGATGGACCCTGCATTGTTGGCTTGTGCGACGTGAGATCTCGGGAGAAAACGTGGTATGGTATTTCCCCAATTATCTCCGGTAAGGCTGTTCTGCATCGCGAATATTAGTCTGCCTCTTCACCCTGCTGCCGATCTCACCAAAGCAGGCTTGATCAGTTCTCACTCGACCGTGTCCCAGGGTTCTGCGATTGACAAAGACAATATATCAAATGGTATGCCTTGATAGCTTCAACTTCGATATATGAGTAGTTTATGCTTTATTCAATAATTCTCGATGATAACAACGTTGCAGCCGCACAGCCCAGGTTACAAAGACCGACGGGCATTATCGTCGAACCATGGAAGCGACGTCGCCAGAACCGGGTAAGCTCTCATCCACAAATCCAAAACGTTTGTAAAGTCCGGCCCCAGACTTGCTTGCATCCACATACGCTGCAACTCCGTCCTTGTCTGCTAGATCACAGCCAAATTTCATAAGCATTGAGCCAGCTCCGCAGCGTTGATAGTCAGGGTGCGTGACCAACGTATCGAGATCTAGATGAATTGCGGTTAGCAGATCCGGGGTACAAGGTAGGTCCGAGTGGCCCCTTACAGTAGTGCTTCAGGCCTCCCATAACGCGGAGTCTTTCCGCTTCCTCCTTGGCGATGAACTCGTCGCAGACTTGACCAGGCTGATCCTGAGTCCATGGTGGATATCGTCGACCCCGCTCGCGGGGCATCGAAGTATCCCACTTGGCGAAAGCCGCGATGCGTCCACGGCCGTTAGCATCTTTAGAGTCTGGATCGACAACTTTGACGTAGCGCTGAAACGATTTATGGACCAAGTCGTGACGATTGCCTTCGGTCCACCAGTTGCGTACCGCCGGTGTATCAGGCCAGATGCGTCGGATTCCAGGATCGGTAAAAGCTGCGAACCATACCTCTGTCAGAACGGGTGCATCTTCAAGCGTGACTTCTTCGAGTCTGAGGTTTTTCCGTGCAGTCATCTCGATACGAAACGGCGGTGAGATGTTTAATGAAAGGAGTAGGATTCAGGATGCAGTTCTGTCTATCAGTGGAATTGCGTAAGCTTCTATTGGCTAACGAGTTTGAGGGGTCTTTGGTAAACAAAAGCCCGTCTGAGGCCCAGTTTTCACTCGTTACATTCACTTGAAACAAGGCATTTTTAGTACTTTTGATCCCTGGACTGTGTACAGTAGCTCAAGTGTTTATTATTACTATTACCATTCGCCTGTTGCTTAGTGGCGTTTGTTCCATTCCGTTGCCACAATCTGAACTTGCTATAACTTAAATATTACCAGTTTATGACAATGACGATACCAGGGCTTTCAGGTTGTTGAGTGGACCAAGGTACGAGTTAATAGGTGTGATTTGCCGGAACGTTTCATCCAGCAAACTGGGCAGGTCAACTCCCAGGTCAATCATATACGCCTGCGATGTCTGGCGCTGGGCGTATAAAGCTATCGTGTATAGGTAGGCATTAACCATCAGCGTGCTCGACAGGTTCCTGCCGGTCAAGAGGTCGTTAAGTGGGAGCCAGAGTTTGTAGTCTCGCAATAGCCGGATCCGTTCGAATTGTTTATCGGCAGGTGTTGATGGCTCCAGTTCGGTCAAGTCCTCCGCGAGGGCGATGAGTAACCGCAGTTGTCTCCAAGTGTCATCGTCCGGTTCTTGCTCCTTCAAGAGGGCCTTGAATTTCTGCATCTCGACAATTATACGTTGTAGTCCATTCGGCTTCCCGCACTCCGTCTTGAGCGTTGTGTGCAGATGGGCAGTTTGACGCCATGCTTTTGATATCATGTGATAAAATCCGGATTGGTGACCTAACCGGTGGCATGTTTGCAAAATCTGAACTTTTATTAGTTTTGGTGCAACGCGTGGCGGAAGGTTAATACTCACCGCTGAGATCCCTTCTGCAATCTGTCTTCGGCTCGACCTGGTCATGTCAATACTTCCGTCCATCACCTCAGAGAGGCGAACTCACATGTCTTCACAGAGCCATAGCAAGGCCATTGAGGCAACAAGGGCTCCATCAGCATGCTCCGGCCTAAAGTTGGACAGACACCTTCTGAGATCCTGGATAGCTAGCATCTGGTATTGATACTCTTTCCGACGGGCATGTTGGCAGTGAGTAACTGACGCAACTTGGTATGCTGAAAGGGCGAGTACCCCATTCATCGCTAGGCGAGACGACGAGATGATACGAAAAAAGCTAGAGAGTCAACATGATGAGATAAGAAACTGCTGGACAAACCAACCTCGGTAAGTATGATGATATAACAGTGAGCTTACTCACTCCCATCGTTGTAAGTCTATGTTGATTGCTTGCTGCTTGGTAAACGAAGCACAAGTCATCCTCAGAGTATATGGTTGGTTGCAGGGTTATTCTGATACGATCATCCGGTATGGGCATTGACCCTGTCCTTCTCCACTGCCTTACCTCTGCCCTGGCCTTGGCCGACCATGGTCGGCGAGGTTTAGAGGTTGAACAAGACTGTGATGGAGTATTCTCAGGCGGAGGTTGAATGAGCAACTCTTCTTGTGACGGTGTATCGTGAAAGGAACATTTGACCTTGTGCTTAGTGCAGTTCTGGCTGGGGAATCATGAGCTGATGATCACCTTAGTATAGAGGCACGGCCCACCTACCACTGGGGATAGTTCTCGTCGCAGCGGATGTGACGTCGCTTACTGGACCAGACAAATACTGATTAGTATGTTCGACTAGTATCGAAAGTCTTTAAAGTCCCACACACCACGTCAAGCAGCCCATGCGCGACTTTGTATGGCTGCATTTCAGCTCGGTCAGTTTTAAGGTTCGGCAGCGCGAAGGGAAGAGGCCTCAGAGTCGTACCTCCTACGGTTCCCATTTCTGGCTTGACTGAGCGACTTGGATGGCATGATTCAGGCGTAGAACGGGTCACGGCGTGCAGAACAGGCGTCCTTGCGAGGCTCTGCTCACAATCGGTCACCGGAGATAAAGATAAAGGCGGGGAATTAGACGCGTGGGAACAAAACGGCTCTATGCTTCTCTTTAAATACCCTCGCGCTAAGACGTTGGAGAATGGCACAGATTGGGTCTAGCCCTGGCTCCCTCACTCCAAAGTGCTAAGTCTAGAACAGCGATACTATCGGAACGCCGCGTATTACATACATGCACTATGAGAAGCCGTTGACGTGTCGTCACTGCACGGCAGGGTTAAACATTACTGTACAATTTGGGCGAGGACGTGTCTTGGCCGCACGCAATGTCGCGGCAGTTATTATCAGTCAACACTATTACTGGTTAAGTAGTCAAGGCGATCATGGCAGGGGGTCCGGACGAATCGGATGGGGCCAGACCGTTGAAACCTTTTCCTGACCCTGTATTTAAAACGCCGGCTAACAGGTCGATCAGATACTGCAGAGTGACTCCTTGATCTTAGATTATCTCCCGGGGGAAGCTTGGTAGTGTTATGGTATTTGAGGCCCAATCCAGTGGTTCAAGTGATCCTCGATGTCTGTGACAGCGGTCCTAGCCAAATGACAGATATCTTCCAACGTAGCATTCAAGATAACGGCTACCCCGTGTTTAATGAGACAAGACAGTTGCCTTGCAAAACTGGCCTGGGATAGCAGTCGCGGCTTCAGAAGCTGACACTCCCGGAGGCCTAAGCCATTGTTCTCATCTGCTTGAGGGTAAGCGTGGAACGCCTCGTAGGCTCCAATAGGCGCGGTTCATCCGGAGCCCTTGCTGTGGCGCACATCAAAGAGTTGATACAGCGATAACTCCAAGACACCAAAGCTCGTAATTTTGGTAGCCAGGGCCCAGGCCGTATCCCAAGACCAGGTCTATGCTACATAAAGCCTAGGTTGCGACGCTTTGACGTTTTAAGGACCGATACTAACCATGGAAGGCCGTAGTTCCACCAATGTGATCTTGGACAAATGACATACATGCTTACTCAGGCAGCCATTCGAGACATGCCAAGCCTGATTGGTCTTTTCTAGATAAGCAATGGCCAGAAACTTCTCCCATAGGATATAATCTGCAAGAGTTGATGCTCAGTGCTCCACTGAGAAACTCACATGCCCAAGAGCAACATTTCAGCCCAACCAACAATCCAATCCACAGGTCTGAGTGGCTTGACCAATATTCCTAGCCGAGCCAAGCCCCAAGACACGACATGGTCTTCCCCGGAACCCTCAGCCGGGGCTGCAGCCGCTGCAGGAAGCGAAAGATTAAAGTAAGTTTATTGGTCAATCAATCTGAATTTGACAGGTCAACGGTCCAGCCCCTATACTAACCTGTTCCTACCAGTGCGATGGCAGACGCCCAGGATGTCGACGTTGCGAGCTCTACAAGGCTCCATGCCCTGGCTATGATCGACCACTAGCGTTCCGCTTCCACGGAGAGCCTGGACATAGTCTTGTTCGTGATGAGCCCGGCAGCTCTTCCGCGCAGACCCGAGTCTTGGGCATGGGGCTCGGCTATGAAAAGGCGAGGCCCAGAGGCTCAGGGGTTTGTCGACAACCCCAACCCTCGTTCGAGGATGAGTCCATCTCGTATTTCCTGCACGAGTACTGCGTCCAGCCGGCGCCAGGCGTCATCAAGGGGCACCTCGACTTTCTAGAGGGCATGTACAGGAGCTCTAGCCGGACATCATGCATACGCCCGGCCCTCCTTGCTGCAGCCCACATGTCGCTTTCGCGACACTACAAGTCGTCAACGCTCTATGTCACCGCACGATACCACTACGGGGCTGCTTTGAGGACTGTCAACAGAGATCTGTCTGCATCTAAGCGGCCCCTGAAAGATGAAACATTGGCATCCCTGATGCTGCTGGGCATGATCGAGGTAAGTCATGTGCTGCAGTGATCGACAACTCGCTGACGAACCCCCAAGGATATCGAATGCCAAGGTCAAACGACCAAGGCCGTGCACATGGCCGGCATTTCCAAGTTATTCGACGTAGTCGGGCACCGCGTGATAACAAATGTCGAAGAGTCGAACTTGCATTCATGGATCTTCACTCAAATGGTTAGTAGGCCTTAACAGGACCCTTGTAGCATGGATGCTGAGACACAAAATAAGCAAATCCCCTCACTCATGGCCAAGGACGATATGGACTGCCTGGTCATTCCCGACTCACAGCTCGACACATCAAATACAGTGATCCGCTTAGCCCTGGTCGTCACTCGCATTGGACAGTTCTACAGGGCAGCTAGGCGAATCACGAGTGTAGATTCGACATCGACACCGAATAAGCAACGGGAATTACTCGTTCCGGTTATCCAAGAAGCCTTGGCAATCGGCGCTGAGCTGGCCATGATTGAAAAGGCCATGCCTACAAGACTACAACCTCAGAAAACAGCGGACAAGCGACCCGCCACTCCGAGTAATAAGCCCTTGGTCAGCTTTCAATCGCGGTGGACGGCGTGCACGTGGGTCTTCTTCAACATGTACCTCATACTGTTCCTCGGGAGGCTGCATGTATGTGCGGCAACCCTCCTGCGGCTCGTGGACTCAAAGAGCAGTCCGCAGATTCAGCTCGCTCAGACCACCGCCACCATCGCTGAAAAGCAAGTTGTTTCAATGACTCAGAGGCTCTGCAGTGTCTTGCCCTATCTGATGGGAGAAGTCGACGAGCAGGGTGTCCCACTTCCCGTACCGCAACGTCAGAGCGTCGTCATGTACCATCTGGTCTGGCCCCTCGCTATCGCTATCTCAAGCCCGCACAGTAGTCCGGGGCAAGTTAAAGAGTGTCAGGCCAGGCTCAACCTGATCCGAGATCTGTATGGCATCAGACTCGCGTCTTTTGCCCCTGGCTTGGCTAGGGATCTGATGGCGTAAGTCCTATTGAGCGGGCGTATTTGCGATGAGGTTCCCAAACATGGAGAAGCTTCTTCTGAAAAGTACCAGTGGCGTCCTGATGGAAATGCTAGTGATTATACGTTTCAGGCTGATGATACATAGAAGTTGAGCTAACGCTTCCGGTTGAGAATGGTGCATGGTCGGTTACGTTGCATTACGAATTATTTAGATTATAGATGAGTATGTATGATAGTTACATGAATAACCTTTTTGCTGGTCACATCTGACTCTAGAAGCCTTTTTGCTAGGTACAAATGAATCGCAGCATGGTATGGCTTGAGAATGCGTACCTATTCAAGCGCTTCAGTGTCAGTTTCAGGGAGCCTGGCACGAAATGTCTGCAACGGGAAAGGAAAAGCTTCAGGGTAAAGGTAAGTAATGTTAACTTGAAAGGTCTTAGCTCGTTACACTATTTTACTGTACCTGGCTGATCTGCTCCGGGGCTATTCTCGTACCTCGTTAATATCTCGTTCCTTGATTGGAATTATTCCGGCTTACGCGCCGGTTGATGTACCCGCGAGGTAAGTAGGAGAACATCTATTAGCTTTTTTGCTTCGCCGAGATATCTTCAAGAGGTAACACTAGCTACCCCAGTTGCGCGCACGAGGTCATAATACTGTGCTGTTGATCTCGTTGTTTCGGCCAGAAGCGGCATGCCTTGCGTGCTTGCGTGATGCATCGGTCGATCTCTGCCAAGGTACAGGGTAATCTAGTCTAGTTAGGCGAAGTGTCACCTAACGGTCAGACCCGAAAGAGGCTAGACCGTTTCACTGACAACTCCACTTGATTGCTACCGCGTCAATAAACTTCCTCCTCTACTATCACTATCATCTAACTCGTCTCGGTTAACCATGCGAACCTCGCTCCGAAGATCTTGCAATGCCTGCGCGAAGGCGAAGCATAGTTGCGATCTCGGAACTCCCAAATGTTCACGATGCCTCAAGAGAAAAGTCACGTGTATCTACGCAAACGTGCCTTTGTCTTCATCATCGACAACATCATCGTCAACACCGGAACAGCCGGCTCGGAGCGGGTCAATAGAGAAGTCTGAGGTGAAGGCGTATTCTTTGAAGAGCCGAAACTTAGATTCGGCCTCTCAAGATTCAATGGAGCTATTCGCACCCGCTGGCAATTCCTTCGATCCGTTTGACTCATATCCAGCCACCAGACTTCCCAGAGTTCACGTTCAACGATTGATACAGCACTGTAAAGCATTGTCTAACAAGTTTCAAGATAATCTGATATCTAACCCAAGGACTAGTTTTATCAAATATCTCCTTTCAATACTACCCTCTGGATCTCAACATGTCCTCAAATCCATTCATCGTCTCTTGGTGGCCATTGGCTCTTGCAGATCCAGCATTGTTCCATGTTTCTATACAGACAGCATCATTAGATGAAGAGAGGCGCGCCCAGAAGGGCTTCCCTATATCGGAACTTCTCATGGTAGATTCTGTGTCTCTAATACGGAAGAAGATAGGGAGTTCGTTGCTGGCTATTCAAGATGAGACTTTGAACTCTGTTGTCACATTGGCTGCCATAGAAGTGAGTAATTTCTTCGAGACAGAATATGACTCTGTTAATTGACTCCTGCATTTAGCATGGAAAGGGGAATATTGAAGCCAGTAGAGCGCATATAGACGGGGCGAAACGTATTGTTGGGATCCGAGGTGGACTTGATCAAGTGAAGCAAGTAAGTCCATTGACCGCGAGGATGATTGCTTGGTGAGTCACATCTTCCTACCACCGCGAATGACTTGCTGAATTCGTCACAAAGGGTATCGTTGCTCGTCACAGGCTGTCCTCAATATGCAATACAGGACGATCTCGGAATTGGAGATGGAGTTGGTCCAACACTGCAATGGCTTCTCGCATCATCCTTCCTTGAGGCCCAAGACCCTGTTGTCGACGCTCTCCTCCTGGATCGTGAGGTAGCGGATATTCTGACTCGCTTGCGCGGCATTTTTCACCAACCGAACGCCTTGAGTTTACTAGGCACCGAACTTCACGATCTTACATGTTTCGTGGTTCACAAGCTTTTGCTCATTCCGCCACTTCAAAACTCGCCTCAATCGGAGTGTCTGCGATGCGCGATAACGCTCTACATGCTCATCATACATGGCACAACTTATTATACGCATACAGAGCTCGCCAACAGCATTATTCAGCGCCTCAAGAGCCAGCTCCAGCCTTTAGCAGGCAAAACGGGCAGCGTCTTCTTCGGTTCCTTGCAGATCTGGGTACTCTCAGTCACAATTGTCTCGGCTACGGATCCAACAGATATACAATGGCTCATATATGCAGCCAAAATTGCAGCAAATGCGATGGGCTTGCAGTGTTGGGATGATGTTGTTGTCCATTTACAGAACATTCTGTGGCTAGAGACAGAGCGTGCAGAAGTGTTCCGCCAACAGTGGGAAGCAATTCTGACATGAGCACGCAAAAATATCAACTGAAATAATTACTACAAAGTCCGAAAGTCCTGGAAACGGATACAGAGACGCTCTCGAAAAACGTACGACACGTTGGTTCGCAAATTGGCTGCTGCGGCGCTGCAATTGCGTATTCGGTTTCATGATTTTCGATCGGAGACTAGTCCTAAAGAGTACTAGTCTCCGCAATGTCAGGAAGCCAAGCTATGCTGCAGCGAGCGGCAATAAAGAAGCGAGGCATCAGGCTATAACCGGGACCAACGACGGCAAGCATATTTGACAGCAATGACATTGGAATAGAATATACCAATGAAGGTTGAGATATAATCTATGGTTTGCAAATGGACTCTGAGATCTCTCGGTGGGAGGCGATGGAGCTCACTACGAGGCAAAGCGAGACGTTCTTTGTATGGCCTGATACCGATTCAGAGGAACTGACTGAGCGTTGAGACAGATTTGATATGGTATAGATACACAAGTCATCTTCTCCACCTTACAAATCGGAGTCTAGTACACATGCAGTAATCTCGAATCTAGCAATATCAGCCCATCGCATTTCGACGACCATATCGGGAGGCGCATCAAGTCAAATTAGCCAGATTCTTTGTATTAGATGGACATTCCATCCAATACCCGAGGCATCCTCTGGGAGTTCGTATTCTTGTTGTAAGATCCGATCAGTGCTGGATGTTAAGTTCCTAGACAGTCCTTGTGCTGGGCCAGTATGATTTGAGTCCTCCCTTAAAAGGCCTCTATCCCCCCCGGATCTGTACCAGTTTCAGTGCATAGATTAGTTGCTCCGTTCACTTTCGTTCCCATAATGGCATCTATAATCAGCCCCAGAGACGACGCATCTGTCAGTAACGCCAGCTTAACCTTGACAGATATATCCAAAGGGAATGGGCTGCTCGCAAGCTGCCTCAATGGCTACAGCAACACTCAAATACTCCTCACGATCCTTGTTGTCTTGATTGCATACGATCAATGCATGTATCTCTGGCGCAAGGGCCCCATTGCCGGCCCAGCTTTCAAGATCCCTTTCATGGGCCCCTTCATCCGAGCCCTCTATCCCAAGTTCGACCACTATCTTGCTCAATGGGCTAGCGGTCCTCTGAGTTGCGTTTCAGTGTTCCATAAGTAAGTCCACCGCCCCATTCTTCACGATGAAACCCGCTCATATCATTTGTAAGATTCGTCGTCCTCGCCTCCGACCGAGATATCGCACACAAAGTGTTCAAATCCCCAACATACGCCAAACCATGCATCGTCCCCATGGCCGAAACACTCCTGCGACCAAGCGCCTGGGTCTTCCTTCAAGGCAAGGCACATACTGAGTACCGCAAAGGACTGAACGGGCTCTTCGTCAACAAAGCACTCAGCACTTACCTACCCGTCCAGGAGAAGGTATACGATGATTACTTCGGCCGGTTCGTAGCAGCAAGCGCTGCCAACAAGGGGAAGCCCATGGCATTCATGCGTCTCTTCCGAGAGATCAATTGTGCTCTCTCTTGTCGAACGTTCTTTGGAGATTACATATCTCAGGATGCTGTCGAGAAGATCGCTGATGACTTTTATGAGGTCACGGCCGCCCTTGAGCTCGTCAACGTACCTCTCTCCGTCTACGTTCCCTTTACGAAGTGTTGGAAGGGAAAGCGCACTGCAGATGCTGTGCTGGCGGAGTTTGCAAAGTGTGCTGCGGCTTGTAAGGCTAACATGACTTCTGGTGCTGAACCACGATGTATCGTTGATCAATGGGTTTTGCACATGATGGAGTCCAAGAAATACCACGAGCGTATTGCTGCGGGAGAAGAGGGAGTTGAGAAACCTCGAAACTTGATTCGTGAGTTTACAGACGATGAAATCGGGCAGACTATGTTCACCTTCTTGTTCGCTTCCCAAGATGCCTCCAGCAGCGCTACTACGTGGCTATTCCAGGTGCTCGCTCAACGCCCCGATGTTCTCGATCGTCTTCGAGAAGAGAATCTCGCCGTACGAAATGGTAACAAGCACCAACCGTTCGAGTTATCAATGCTCGAGTCCCTTCCCTACACCAACGCAGTCATTAAAGAGCTTCTTCGATATCGTCCTCCTGTCATATTTGTCCCCTATGAGGCTACCAAATCCTTCCCCGTCACACCCAAGTACACGGTATCCAAAGGCACTCTCATCGTCCCTACGTGCTATCCCGCGCTTCACGATCCTCAAGCCTATCCAAACCCTGAGACTTTCGACCCTGACCGATGGATCACTGGTGATGCCGAGTCCAAGACAAAGAATTGGCTTGTCTTTGGGGCTGGTCCTCACGATTGCCTGGCTCGCAGGTACGTTCCGCTTACTATGGCTGCCATGATTGGCAAGGCTTCTCTGGAGCTAGACTGGGTGCATCATGCCACCAGCCGTTCGGAAGAGATTAGAGTGTTTGCTACTTTGTTTCCTGAGGTAAGTTTATTGCATGCTCAGTAACAGTCTCGCCTACTAACTTCTGATGCTATCAGGACGAATGCCAGTTAGTCTTCACCAAGAGAGAGTAGATTGTTGCTCGTTACCGCTTGGGAACTTGGTAGAGTCCGGTAATTAGGCTGTGCGTCGACCGTGGAATAGACAAATGACTTGCTCGAGAATGAGACACTATCGCAGATTACGGATAAATATTGTGTGACTGTGTGATGTTTTGATCTATTCAAGTCATGACTAGATGCTCGCTAATACGAATGGAAGATGAAGCTATATACAAAGTGTTGAAGGGCTTCGGCTGTCTGGCCGATAGGTTCTTAGAAAGGATGTTAGAAATGGTGCCCTATTATACATTACAGCAAGCCAACGCGTTGACTTCTGGCCACGAACTTAGGCAAAGACACTGTCAAGGAGGAAAGCAACCTCCTCCTTTCGGACGTTGTCGACAGCAGTGTAGCTGAGGTCAGTCTTGTTGACATCGAAAACAATATTGAGGGGCTCTGCAAGTGTGTACTGAGGCCAGGTAGCATGGCTGGGCGCAGTCTTGACGGTATTGGGGGTCAAGTCATGCATGAAAGAAACCCACATCTTGCTCATGAGGTCGGCAAGCTCAACGAAAGTCTCGGGCTTGCCTTCAAAGGGGTTGGGCTTGTAGCCAACACCCTTGACGTTGTTGAAGACGAAAGCGACCTCCTGGAAGTGGGTAGCTCCAATGATGGCGGGAAGGCCATTGACGTAAACGTTCCAGAGGTAGGAGAAGACGGGGATGGAAGAGGCGGAGTAGACCTGGGCCAGGAGACGTCGTCCAGCGTGTTGCTGGAAGTCACCAGCGAAGGCGGCGGCACGCTTCCACTGGGAGCCATACTCGTTAGTGGGACGGCCAATGAAAGATGCGGGGATCCCCTCGTCAGGGATATCAGGGTACAGAGTAGTAGCAGTAGCGACCTGAGTCTGGCTGAGGCCGAGGCTGGAGAGCCAGGACTGGAACTGCTCGGTAGTGTTGATACCCTTCTTAGCGTAGGCAGTGCCCTCATCGAAGTTGTTACCCATGAGAAGAGGAACGTGGGCGAACTTGCCGGCCAGAAGGAGCTTAGAGGCCTGGGCGGTCATGAAGTCACCGTCGATAACAGCAGTGAGAGTTGGGGCAGTGACGTCGAGGGGGGTAGTGTTGTTGAAGATGTTGTTAAGGGTCTCCCAAGGAAGGCCACGAAGACACTCGAGGTTGTCGGAGGCAGAGTCGCATCCAGTCTTCTTGACAAGAGCGTCATAGTACCCCTGCCAATCAGAGGCCTCTTTGAATAGAGCAACAGGGCTACCAGACTCGAGAACAGCAGCACGGAAGAGGTTGTTGTGCTGGCCCTCGTAAGCGACGAGCTGCATACCCAGGGATCGAGCACCAGCAGACTCTCCCCAGATAGTGACCTTGTCGGGGCTACCACCGAAGGCCGCGACGTTGTCCTGAAGCCATCTCATAGCCAGTCGCTGATCCTTGAAGCCCAAGTTACCAGCATTCTCCTTCTGCATCTCTTCGCTGAAGAGGAAACCCCATTGCGACACACGGTAGTTGATGGAGGCAGCGACAATGGGCTTACCCTCCTTGACAGATTGATCAACGATGTAGCTCAGGTTGTACCTAGGATCTCGGGAACCGCCGTTGGTGTAGCTCTGTCATATTGTTAGTCATAACATAGCATTGGGTATATAAGACGGGAACTTACGCCGCCATGAACCCAAAGACCAACGGGGAGCTCATCTCCGGCCTTGACACCAGAAGGTCGTACGATGTTAATGGTCAAGCAGTCCTCATTGACAGGGTTACCGAGGCTCTGGGTATCAGAGCCGTAACCAATGCACATCCATCCGAACTCGGTGGCAGATCGAGGTCCCTTCCATGCCTTATCAAGAGACTTGGGTGAAGAGAAGCGCAACGGGCCTACGGGAGGTTGGGCATAGGGCATGCCAAGGAACAGATCATGATCATACGTGGTGTCATGCTTGCCCTGGTAGGTTCCGTTGCAAACTTGAGCAGTAGGAGCGCCTGGAGGGGAAACGTGGGGAGGGCCGGGAGCGGGAGCAGAGGGAGATGGAGGGGGAGGAGGATTGGGAGGTCCTCGAGGTCCTGGAGGCCCAGGAGGTCCTGGAGGGTGATGATCACCAGGAACGCCAGGAACAGGAGGGGCAGGGTAATGGGGAAGGGCAGAAGCATAACCAGAGAAAGCCGCCAAGAGCAGGCTTAGTGTGTTTGAGGAATGCATCTTGTAGCGTCTTGACAAAGGGACTGACAAGGTGCGTGCAGTGAGGATCGCGAGCTGAGCTTCTAGACAACGTCTGGAAGAAAAAATGAGGAAGCTCGTTTAAGAAACTTGCATCAGTGGCTTGTCATGTCGATCGCTGTCTTTAAGTTCAACGGACGTCGAGGCCTTGTGGGCCGTGAGAAAGGAGCATTGTCCATACAAACGACATGGTCTACCATGTCATGACTTGGGTGAAATTACATTCTCTTGCCCCAGGGATTGTGCATCCGAAGAAGAGCCAGCATTCGCCTAAAA